ACTCACTCGATTCATTCGATCAAATTACCCAACTTACCTTACCGTGAACTTATTCTTCTTATTGTTCTTCTACTGATTCAAGTTAAATACAGAAATAGTTTCAACAACCCAGTGGGCGTTTCAACGTTTTTAGTGCCTACATTTAAGTTTCTGAAACTTGTTCTGCTACGAATTTACGACAAAGGATTCTCACGCCGCCGCCGATGTCTGRGTGTTCATGTTTGCGAATCAGCTCGTCAATTCTGTTTATCAACTTTGAACAAGCTTATGACCACATCTTACTTCTTCAATCGAGTCTCCAASGATTAATCATACGCTAGTATAGTGTTCAAGTGCAAATAAATCATGTCTACAGCTGACGAAGATGTAGATGACCGACACCTTGGAACAGCATAAAGTCGACGAAATTTATCATCTAAAGAAGTCCAAGTCAGGTCATTTAGGACATCTTAATAGAATTTACAGAGAACTGAACGACGTAATGAACGATTCGGCTAATTATTATCAAGTCGTGAACCTTAAACAGAAATTGGACACTGCTTACAATAACTGTTTGCATTCTTACGAGGACATTCTAATTAAACTACAATCTGACGCCGATGTCGAAKAAAAACTGAAATTTTCCGATGAATATGCCGCTCTTATTCGTTATAAAAAGGACTTTGACGACTCTTATCAAACCAAGATTGGACATTTTAATTCATCTTATCGCCCAAATCAGGATAACGAGCTTGAACCATCATGCTTCAAATTATCGCCTATGAAACCTTTGACGCCTCAATCAAAAGTACAAACATCTACTCCCTATATTAATCAACATTCACAACATGGATACTCCACTGAGTTAGAAAGAAATCAACCACTAAGTKCTGACAGTTTAGCTGGAGACAAGTCGTATAAATCTAATGCTAGTGAACCAGTTGAAAGAAAGAATTTYGAACATTTACTTAAACAACAACAAGAAGCTATGTCACTCATGGCATCGTCTCTAAGGATTGGATTTGAAATGYCTAGAAAGGAACTTTTGACATTCGATGGTAGCCCTATTAATTACTGGACATTTATAAAGAACTTYGAAATAAACATCGRACGTCAATTAACAGATGCAGATTCCAGGCTTACTTATTTAATCCATCAATGTACAGGACGTGCTCGTGAAGCCATCAAGAACTGTATTATTATTCCTGACAAGGAGTCAGCATATAGCAAGGCTAAAGTAATCCTCCACTCAAGATATGGCCAAAAACATGTGATTGCACATGCCTATGTTAATCGCCTGGTCAATGGCCCACAGATAAAGAACTCAGATGCGTCAAGCTTAACTAAGCTTGCTTCACAAATGCAAAACTGTCAATTAACTCTATCAAGTATGGGATTCGAAGCAGATATCAATAGTTCTGATAATCTTGTTAAAGTAGTTTACTACTTTAAAAACGCTTACCTGTACGCTTGCAAGGTAAATGGGCTGAGGTAGCAGGAGTTCTGATCAGACAAGGAACTGAACCTACATTTGAACATTTGACAAGGTTTGTTGATGAACGAGCTACTCTTGCTAATACTATGTACGGTATGATTGTTGGTTCTAGTCCAGAGAGTAACTCGTCACGTGTAAGGACCACCACTGTAAGAAGATCAAATTTCCCACCTCCAACAGCCAAAGCTACAACGCTCACCACGTTTAGTGATAAAGTGCCTCAACAAGAGTCTAATCCTGTGTCTGCTCAAAGAGAGTCTACAAGCAAGTGTCCACTGTGCGCAGAGTCACACAGGCTAGCACGCTGCGAACAATTTAAGAATAAAACATCTCAGCAAAAGAAGGAGTTTACTATGCAAGCAAGACTTTGTCATAATTGTCTCGGACGTAACCATGTTGCTAACAACTGTAGAAGTGAAAATACGTGCAGAGTTTCAGGCTGTGGCAATAAACATCACACCTTCTTACATCCAGCTCCT